TGTTTACAACATAAACATGTAGCAGAACTGTGCAGAAACTCTTAGAAAGTAAAATTTAACAAATGCAGGCAGCTGACCTGATTGGACATTATCATGCAGCCTTGTTTGCAAATTAAAAAGTTACTCCAAGCATTATGATCACTTAAGTGATTTGAAGTGGTCATGGTGCCAGGAGTCTATATGTGCACTGTCTCACTGTGAAACCTTACCTCTGTCAATGTCATTGGGGCATCATTAGCTGGCTAATTCTGTGCAAATTGTCATGCACAGTGTGCCATTTATTGGCTGAGAAAGGTCAGCTGACGCTCTCAGTGAATGAATAACAACTGAATTGGCTCTGGCTTCTGTAGAAGCCAAAAGCCCATAACCAGGGATACTAGGAGCTTAAATGCTTGGTGAAAACCCAGGTAAGGGGGATAGTTTGCCCAATCACCGGGGAACTAGGCCAAGGTACTCCTCATATTATTAGCACTACAGCAGGTTAACTGAAATAACCATACTCACAAAAAAACACAAAACTCTAAACTTTTAATTCTTTATTGAGGAAGGCCATTTTTATGTGAGATGATTATTATTTCTAAAATGTAGACGCTTTAGCTTTGTAACCAAAACAAAACTGAGAATTTTGAGATCTGCTTGTCCAACAGTAATTTTCCTCTTTCTTATTAAAGGAACACTAACATTCTAAATATATTTTTGACATTTTTATGAATTGATTTAAACATAAATGATACCGCACTCTCACAATGAAAACCAGGTGCATCGAAGACCTGGTTGGCAAAACCCCAATTTAGGAGATGTTCATAGAAAATAGGTTCAGGCACTCAAGGTTTCTTCAAAGAGACAGATTTATACTGATTGTGCAATGTTTCGGCCTTCACAGAGGCCTTTGTCAAGCTTGACAAAGGCCTCTGTGAAGGCCAAAACGTTGTGCATTCAGTTTGCAATAAATCTGCAACTTTGAAGAAACCTTGAGTGCCTGGACCTATTTTCTATTAATATACTTTATGAATATAATTGATGATGTTGTGGGGCATGGCTGAACATGCCTGAAGTTTGGACACATAATTTTTAATGGATGTTACAGTGCTCACTTTGAGCACTTGGCACATCCACTCTTATCTTTGTCAACAGAGAGTCATATTTGATGGCCTAGAGGAGAGTCTCGGGTGATCCTGCTTACACTATAGCTGTAGAACATTCACATTCCAGGGACAATAAGAGCACTATTTTCAGCATGGCATAAAATGTCCTCAAGACTTAAAGGCAACAACTTTTATTCTTTCTCAATTCTGGTACAATGCATACAGTGTTGACTTCACACTGTCCTGAATAAGTGAAGGTATCACTACACATTCTAAGTTTCTAAATTACAGTATGTTTAACTTTTTACACCAAGAACACCAGTATCACTTTAAAAAGTGCTTGGCGTTTAACCAAATGGACTTTTAATAGATAGCAACATAGAATGTGACGACAGATAGGAACCATTCGGCCCATCTAATCTGCCCAGTTTTCTAAATACTGTCATTAGTCAATGGCCTTATCTTATTGTTAGGATAGCCGTATGCCTATTCCACGCATGCTTAAACTCCATACCCGGTTTTAACCGCTACCACTTTAGCTGAAAGGCTATTCGATGCATTCACTACCTTCTCAGTAAAGTAATACTTCCTGATATTATTTTTAAACCTTTTCTCCTCTAATTTAAGACTATGTCCTCTTGGTGTGGTAGTTTTTCTTCTTTTAAATATAGTCTCCTCCTTTTCTGTGTTGATACCCTTTAAATGTTTCTATCATATCCCCCTGTCTCGTCTTTCCTCCAAGATGTTTGTAGAAAACATAACAGTACTTATTTTATCGTCCTTAGGGTGGATATCAAGCAATGCATTGTTATGATTCTCTAAAAGGAATGTGCTATCTTCCAGATCCTGAAAGAGTGTTATCTTGACACACTGATTCTAAAGGGGCCCTGGTTGATTTGCCCACAAAATATGTACATATAGAACAAATAATGCACTTAGATTATATATCATGTAGCAACTAATGAACGTGGATAATTCGATTATTTTATGTTTTACTTTTTGAAACTTGAGAAGAAAAATGGTTTTGCAGATTATCATTTAGGAAGTGCTGTGGTTTTTTTTTTTGTGTGCTTATTTTTCATCATGGGCTAGTACATTTATAGATAGCACCATTTTTAGTAGTAGTTATTGCACTGGTCTTTCCTTCATCACAACCTATATTGTGCCTTAAAGGGACATTATAGTCACCTGAACAACTTCAGCTTAATGAGGTTGTTCAGGTGAGCACTATAGCTCCCTGCAGCCTTTCTCATGTAAACACTGTATTTTCTGAGAAAGCTAGGAATACCTCCAGTTGCAGTAACTCAGAGTGAACTAGAAGGACTTCTGAGTTGATGGAGGCATCCTGTGATTCAGTATCTCCTCCCACTGCATGCAGACACTGAACTTTCCTCATAGAGATTCATTGATTCAATTCATCTCTATGAGGAGATGCTGATTGGCCAGGGCTGTGTTTGAATCATGCTGGCTCTGCCCTGATCTGCCTCCTTGTCAGTCTCAGCCAATCCTATGGGGAAGCACTGTGATTGGATCAGGCTATCACATGTCAGCAGACTGCTTGTTTTTCCTGAGTCTAACAGCATGCAGATTTACAGCTTCTGGCTTGAATACAGTAAGATTTTTACTATATGTATGGAGGCATGAGGGGCCCAGAGGGGCTAGATGGTGGTGTTGACACTATAGGGTCAGGAATACATGTAGT